TGTCCAGGGCAGACTCAGCATTGCTTCCCCCAGACCTGCTCCTCCCCTCCTGCTCTGCTCCTGGATTCCTGCCATGGCACCTGGGACTGGAGTCTGCCCTGCCTCTCCCCGCTTCCCAGAAGGACTTCATCTGACGTGTAGTAGGAGCACCTTTGAAAACCTCTCCCAGACACTTACGTTCAAGGAGTGCTACTCAGCGGTACACCTGTGACAGCATAGCAACTGGATTGCTTCAGTCGGGAAGGGGTCCCTATCAGCCGTCATACTGGGATCTTGGAGAGCAGACCCCATGCAGTATTCATCTTTGCGTCTTGCCCTACTACCACCCGTCTGCACCCAGCAGAGCGTCTTGGCATGTAATAAATGGTTATTGGAAGGAAAACATGCCCCCCAGGAAACCCAGAGTGTTCCCAGACACTGGAAGGTGACGTCAGTGGAGATGTTTCAGGATCTGTCTCTGATTTGCCCCTGGAGCCTCCCACCTTGGGCTCATTCCAGGGGCTCCATGCATGGCCGCCCTTGATTACAGCTTATGGGATGACAGAGCCACATTCCACATTCAGAGCAGAAGGCTCCACTGCACTGGGACAATGGCGTCTGAGGAGATGGATTTTCTTTGCTATTTGGTTAAAAAGCCCATTAATGTCGAGTCAATTCTGACTCATAGCAACCCTAGAGGACAGAGTAGAACTGCCCTATAGGGTTTCCAAGGTGGATTCAAACCACTGACCTTTTGGTTAGCAGCCGAGCTCTTAACCACTGCGCCACCAGGGCTCCATTAAGTAAATGCTATTTATTTGAATTGGAAATGGCCAATAGAGTGATCTATTTGGATATAGGATGAGTTCACCACCTTTAGCTTTCATTTTTGCAATTTGAGGCTGAAGTCACGTGGTGGGACAAACAACGCTTGATTAGATAGAAGCCACAAGTAGAATTTGCTCTCAAGTCAGTAGCTCAAGGTAGCATAATTAGCATACGGGCCACTTTAACACCTCTCTCTGTACCCTAGAATTCTTCAATGACCTGGATCTGCTGATGGGGCCTGTCACCCTGCACAGCAGCATGGAGCACCTCGTCCAGTACTCCCAGCAGGGCCTGCACTGGCTGCGGAACAGCACCCAGCTGTCATAGGGACCTCACCCTTGAGCCAGCTTGTGCTCTCATCTCCATGGACAACTCAGTGTTCCTGGAAACTGTGCTGCTGAAGTTCTCGGCCACAGCATTTGTCGAACCACGGTGAACATTTCCTCAGCATCGAGCAATGGCCTTTGCCCCAGGGCACGTGTGTTTGTAGGTGTGGATGTATGAGAAGCTGCCCGTGTGTACGTTTAAGATACACAGCTCTTCAGGACACATCTTCTTTGTCTGGTTTCCATAATCTTCAACTAGACAAAGTGATCAGAGGTTTCTGATTAGAAGAGTTACACACACACACACGCACACACACACACAATCACACACACACACTTTCTACTCCAATGCTAAAGCACGACTTCTTAGAAAACTCAACCAAAATCTCATGGGTTGGTGAGCCAGGTGCAATACAGCACACCAAAAGCTTGACTGCCAGTTAAGATGAACCTAGCTTTTAGATGATTGATCTCTTTCAGTATTAATATACTATTTCCCAGTTATTTTTTGATTGGTGTGTATTAATGGGTAATGGAATAATGGAAAGAAGTCAGTTATTTTTGTGCCAGGAGTTCAACAGATTGCCTGTTACCAAATACCCTGTCCTCCTTCTAATGCCCCACCGTCAATCCAAATTTATTATCAGCTAAACACATAACAAGCAAATGGATCAGCCCCCACAAGCCTTGCCTGACCCGCCCCCGAATTCGCTGGAAGATGGCACTGAGAGTTGGTAAAAACCCAGTGTCTCTGAAAGTTAACAAACATTCAAGCGGTGATTGTGTTTTGGCGCTCAGTTAAAAATTGAAACCGTTTGCATGTCTGACAACAGACCCAGCCAGCACATGCATTTCTTCTTCTTCCTGCCACTGTGACAAAGTGACGTTCGAGCCACGTGGCATTTGTGGGCCAATATTTTTCAAGTCTTTTCTTTCCACAGTACTTTTCTTACAAGTTTCCTTGGCCAAGTTAGGACATTGCCTGAAGTGTCCCTTCACTAGGAGTCGGTGCCTGTTGCTTACCAGCCTGAGAACGCTTTGCTGTCTTAGTACCGTGCGATGCTCTCGCTCTTCCTGCAGGATGTACCGCTGCAGGCCTTTACTGCGTTTGGATTTGGGGGATCTTTTTCCGGCTTTGATTAGCAAGCTGCTGACTGTGCAGAGGAGCGCTGTTTCGGCGTCGGTCACAATCCTGTCTTGGGGCAGCAACGACCCCAGCATCCTGCTTAAATTCTGCGCATCTGGTGTGTTGACTTCTTGTCCCTGGTTCTTTCCTTTTCTTTTCCTCAAGATTACATTTTCATGTTTTGACATTTCATTTTGTTTGTAGTTTCTCTTGGAACCTTATTTCTAGTGTCCTGTCATGTCCTAAATTTAGTCTCCTTGTCAAGTATGTTTAGATGTGAAAATATTGGGAAAAAGAGAAGGATTCCAGAAAAAGAAAATATACCTTGCCACACTTTAAAAAGAATAACGTCCTCGAGGCCTCTCACTTGATGAAATTGTATCAGGACGGTCTGAGAAAGACAGGTGATGCGGTATGCGGGACAGCCCCTTTCTCGAGGTGTTAGTGACACAAAGTAGCCCTAACAGATGTTGACGTATGCTCTCACTGACGTTCTTACTGCTTTGGTGGCAGTGTTAACGTTGTGGTCAGCCGGATCTCTAGGTGGACAGTAAGATTGCTATAATTCCTTAGCTCTAAGCACTGACTTGGAAACCCTGGTGGTGTCGTGGTTAAGAGCTACAGCTGTTAACCAGAAGGTCGGCAGTTCAAATCCACCAGGCGCTCCTTGGAAACTCTATGGGACAGTAGGGTCACCATGAGTCGGAATCAACTCAACAGCAGAGGGTTTGGATTTTTTAAGCACTGACTCAAAACTACAAATGACCAAATAACTTTGTTGACTGAAAATTAATTTTAAATGAGCAAGTGAAGGGCTTGTTAAATTTGCATTTGGCTTTAGCCTTCAAGAATTCTGGAAATACTGGCAGTATTTCCATTTTATATTTATCCTGCTGAAGCGCTCTCACTAATTGAGGACGGATTTCATAATCCATTCCTATGCTGGAAATGTGACTCTAACTTAAATTTTTTTTTTGAAGGACTGAGACTTAGTTCTGTTTACTTGGTGAATTCTGAAGATGACATGTTCAAACTCCCATGAAGGAGTAACCCGCGGGGTCCATCACGCATTCCCGGGTGCCTTTCTGGTCTTGCTCATCTTTAAAGTTGGAGGATTTGTTGTAGCATCTACGTGGCGTGCTTGCACCGTTACCCACCGAGCACACGGGTGGTCTCCGGCCGACTGTGCCGGCAGTTTTTCTTGTCGGTGTTTCCCAGCCAAGCTTCTTGAAACTGGTCGTTTGGGGGATGGTCAGAGCATTCTGTCACCACCTCTGGTTTCCTGTCACCTGTCACTATCTCTTGTTTCATGTGTGGAGCATGTGAGGACGCAAGTTTTTGCTTGGTCTGGTGAATAGATGATTTTGGCAAGGAACCACCTTCTGATGGCTGCTTGTGAAAGTCACCCATAACTCGCCCCTTTTATTTAGTTTTGTTCAAAGTCGAAACATCTTTCCTGTGTTTTCGGATTATAAAAGTAATACATGCTCATTGTAGAGATTCAAACAATTCAGAAATGTATGAAGTAGAAAGTCTAAGTCCCCAATGGTCCCATCCCCCTAGACAACCACTGCCCACAGTTGGATATCTATCCTTCCAGAGATGTTTCCCTTGAAACCTGTAACTTTTGTTATCATTTCTTTCTATTTGAAGACTTATTCTTTCCTCAGAAATTCAACATGATCTTAACTGACCTTGTCCTTCCATGACTGGAATGGATGTCTCCCTTTATCACAATGCTAGAATTATCTTTGAAGGCGAGTAACCAACTATATTCCAGATCAAAATTTGGCATTTATTACTACT